CAGCATGTCAGTGGCGGGAAGCACAAGGGCAGGCACTGACCTTCAAAAAAAAAGTACTAATTGTATCAAGAGTTTTTTCTTTTCAAAATCCGAATAGAAAGGGTACACATTGTATTCGAATACAACGTGTACAATTTCTATTCGGGGTACTCTGCTATTCGAGAAAAGTGCACCCACACCGTTTCAATTTCGAAAAAGGCTTAAGGACCACGGCCTCCTCGGCCTCCTACGGGCAGCTACCGGTCCTACGCCGTCCTGGCCCTTGCAAGGCCCCAAAACCTCAAAATGCCCACCCTCCCGACGATCACGACGTTGAAATTTGATTGACGTTGAAATGTCTCAGGGGGGGAAACGCAAACCTGACGGGCTGCGAATTGCGTGCGGGACTTTCCATCTGCCCCCACAGCTCAAAGGCTGCTGTGTCGTGCTAGCCTCCTATAGAGTACAACGGTCGAGTACAACAGTGGAGTCTATGACGGCCTAACACGGCGCTGTGGACCAGATGGTTTCCAGAAGTGATGGTTTTAACCGTCAGTACTTTCCCCTGCCATTTTCTACAACTGGCAGTTCTGGCGCTCGTTCACAAAAGTTACCTGCAGGCAAAACGGGTAGTGTACTTCACCTGGATGTATTTTTAGCGAACCAGCGGGCTGGTACATCCCGTCAGACGCGGTGTGAGCACTGCCAGGCCGGGGAAAGTACTGGCGGTTTATGGACTCTGGAGCCTGTAGAGTTCAGTCTCCTCAGTTGGTAAGACTCGGATGAAACAGTCTGTCACGGCCCTCACTGTCTTGTCATTGTCATTTTCTCCCTTATTACTACCTGGGGTTCACAAGGCAGTTCTGTCTGACTGTGTATATACTACGGCTATACATCGTCAAACAGAACTGCCCGTTAAATCGCCAGCAGAGAGGGAGAAGAGGACAACAAACGAGGGGCTGTGACAAACTGTATAGTATGTGTAGTTGCAGAATATGTATCTGTATATATATGTATATAAGAGAACGTTTGTGCATCTGTGTGCGTCGTGCGAAATGACAAAAGACGATGGCCAAAAGCTTGACGTTGTCGAGGTGGTCCAGTGAACGTGGCCCGCATTGCGGTAACAGTGGCGGGCCGGAGAGGATTTGGAGGGTGATGGGGGGAGTGAAAAAGGTACTCGGGCCTGATCACACGGTACAGCGTCAAATTGATTGCGATACAGCGAACGCAGCGAACCGTGGTAGTACCGGAGGGGCAAGTTTCTGCTCCGAAGGGATGGCAGAGAATCGTACGGACGGGGGCGCGCGGTGAGTGTAGCAGCGGAGGGTCAGAAGCAGAAGGGAGGAGCTATGTGGGTTGGGCAAAAACAGAAACTACTATCGACCGTACTCGCTTGCACTTGGTGCCAGATGGCGAAAGGAGGGACGGAGATATACCGTGAGAAAGGGAGTGCGGGTTTGCGGGAGGGAGAAGGAAGAGGGAGGGGGAAGGGATTGCCTGTGTAGGGAGGGGGTAGGGCGGGAGTCAGTGAGGGGGAGACAGCAACTGGTAAGGTCTCACAAGGAGACGAGATGAAAGAGACTGTGGCTAAGACGAAGGTTATTGTGAGGCGGCTGCCGCCTAACCTGAAGGCGGAAGCTTTGGTGGAGGTTATTGACAAATCGTTCGCAGGGCGATACAATTGGTTTAGCTTTCATGAAGGCAAGACTAATCAGAAGCGCATCGTCTATTCCCGAGCGTACCTGAATTTCAAAAAGCCGGAGGATGTGCTGGAGTTCTATGAGAGCTTCGAGGACCATGCCTTCGTCAACGAGAGGGGATTGCCGTTCAAGGCGTGCGTGGAATACGCGCCTTTTCAGGCCATACCGAAGGCGAAGGCGAGGAAGGATGCAAGAGAGGGGACGATCTTCAAGGACCCTGACTACTTGGCGTTCGTGGAGGAGGTGGGAAAGCCGAGTGATGCATTGCCAAGTGCGGAGGTGCAATTGGAGAGGAGGGAGGCGGAGAGAGCCAGAGAGTTGGCGGCGACAGGAGGGGTATCGCCAGTCATCGTGACGCCGTTGATGGAATATGTGAGGGGGAAACGAGCGGCGAAGGCGGCGCCACAGCAGAAACCCTTGTCAGCTGTTGCAAGGCAGGCAGCGGCTCGTGCGGCCGCCGCAGCGGCCGCTTCTGCCGCCGCCTCGACAGGCGGGCCGGGAGGTTCGTCTCAGAAGCCTCGAACGGTGATCCTTCAGGAGAAGGCGAAGATGGGAGAGGGCACAGGTATGGAAAAGCGAAGTGCGGCGAAGGACGGAGGGGGCACAGCAGTATTTGCTGTGGTCTCGCCTGCCGCGTCGGCTTCGCCGTCTCCTTGCGCGTCCTCCCCGTCTAAAGCGGAGCCGTTGCGCTCGAGCAGGGAGCGGGAAGCAGTCGTGGAGAGAAAGCGGCGCGAGGCGTTGGATAGCAGGGACAGAAGACTTGTGCGGGAGGCCGTCGTCGCTGCATTGTCTTCTGTAGGGGGAGCTGTGGGGAGCAGCCGCTCGGCGTTGGGAACTAGCGGTGTACCAGGAACAGCCGTAGGCGGGAAGATCGGCGCGTCGACGCTTGCCGCAGGCGCGAGTGGAGGCACATCAGGCGTGCCTTCCACTTCCGTCTCGGCGAGTACTACTGGCAATAAGTCTGTTGATAATGAAGGAATGATGTCAACGACAGCAATAGCAGCAGCTGGAGGAGGAGGGGGAGGAGGAGGAGGAGGAGGAGTTGGAACGATTGTGAGAGAGAGCAGTGCAATTGGAGGGGGACGGAAGGAGATCCTTCGGAGGCAGAGAGGATTGCCACCACCATCGATTCATCAAATGGCGCCGGAAGAGAGAGATAAGGCAACGGAGGGTGAAAGTGCGAGTGGTGAAAGGGAGAAAGACGAAAGGCGAGACGCGGTGTCGGGCGAGGTGGCGGCGTGTGGCGGTGGTGGGGTGGGAGATGCTACTACTGTGGGAGCTGTTCCGCCCGTTGGTATCGCGACAAGCACAAGCCGCGGTGGGGCCGGCAGCGGGACGAGTAGCAATCCGCGTCAGAGACCGCCTTTGCCACCAGGACCATCTCGAGTGGGCACGGGACAAGACCCGGTGGGACAAGCGGCGGCTGGTTCACCAGCGCATCAACGACAGCAGCATGGCCATGGCTCACAGGGGCAGCAGAGCGCGTCCCCGAGAGTGGCGCAGGTGGTCCAGTCACAGGCGCAGCAGCAGCATATGGGCGGCGGCTATGTGGCGGTAGGCTCAGCAGGTGGCGGCGGTACCGCGATGGGAACGCGGGGTCCGCAGCGGCGCGGCGGGGAGGGAATCCGCGTGAGGGATGTGCAACAGGTATCAGCTTCGCAAAATGCCTCCTCGTCGTCATCGTCTGTGTCGTTGTCGTCAACATCCCGGCAACTCGTGGGTGGGGTATCGTCCAACCAGCTAGGGCGAAACATTCATAGGCCATCGCCGCTAGGATCATCATCATCATCATCCGGCGGGCAGGGGGTAATGTCAGCGGGGTCATCATCGTCGTCAGGAGCAGCGTCATCGCCAGCGAGGAGTCCGTCTTCGAGTCAGGCCGTGAGTGGCCGAGGAGCGGGGACCCCATCAAACATACAGGCTAGTGGAAGCTCTCTCCGAGGGGCTACGAGAGACGGCAACCCCCCTCAGTACAACGGCGGCGCCTCAGGTTACCCCAATAGCAGCGGTACAGTGGGAGCTGCTTCCAAGTCCGGTGGACCAGCAGCAGTATCTACCGGTGTACCTGCGACCGCTACTGTTGCTGGCGGTGGGGGAAGAACTCTGGACGAAGGTGGAGGTGCGTCGAAGTCATCCTGGGCTGCTGGTGGGGGGGGTTTGCAAGATTCCCCAGCTAATGCTGCTGCGTCCGTCGCCGCCGCGCCGTCGTTGGGGATGACAGGTGGCGGCGGACACGTGGCGTCGATGACCACGACGAGTGCTCACGGGACTGTCACCGACAAGCCCTCTGAAGTGCGGCGAGTGCGCAATAAAGACCGTCCAGATCGTCCCGTATGGACTCCCCGCCGCCGCCCGGAAACACCGCAATCCGCGCAGACGGCAGTGACAACGGGGGGAACTGCTGGGGGCGGGGGGGCGGCCAGCTCACCCCACGTAGCGCCTACGACTTCCTCCTCTGCTCACTCCTCGTCTACAACCATATCCCAAGAAAGAAGCAGTGGTGGATCCCTGTTCGCCTCAGGCTCTGGGTCAATTTCAGTAACGCCGGTTACCTCAGTAACCGCCGGCGGTTACCTCAGCACCCAACGGGCCGTTCCCTCACACGCAATCCGCACAGCTATGGATGCGCCTTCGCGGAGTGGCGGTTATCATCATAATCATGGCCATGGTGGCAAGCAGTCCATATCACGTTCTGAGCTGGAGGAGGAGGGGCAGCATACCAACAACCCCTTGTCCTCCTCAATTGGGGGACCTTCAGAGTCAATACCCAAACCTCTCCGCAGAACTAGTGGTTCTCCTTCTGCGCGCCTGGGGGAGGCAAAACAGGTGTGGGTGGCAGTGCAGAGGTAGCGGAGAAAAGCGGGAAAGCAGGGCTTTTATGTCTGTGATGCAGGAAAGCAGTAGTCTGGAAGAAAAAACTCTTATCCATTTGTCCACCCCGCCCCCATCCGTCAGGCTCCAGGTTTTCTGGATCGGATGAAAGATCCAATGATCGTTTCTCGATGAAGATGAGAACTACCGTTGCGGTGGATTGATTGTGACGATCGTGGTCTCCAGGTTTTCTGGATGATGAGGAGGAGGATGACGCTCGGGAGTCTGATACAACTCCTAAGGGAAAGGCAAGATGAACGAAGAGAGAGGACAATCAGCAGCGGCATTCCTGAACGAAGAAGAGAGAAGGAGATGGGAATGCCAGCTTGAAAAGGGTTGGAGGAAACAATGAACGAGAGTGAACCGAAGGTGCAGAGGCCGACCCCAAAGAGATCGGGGGGAGAGAGAGAGAGAGAGAGAGAGAGAGAGAGAGAGAGAGAGAGAGAGAGAGAGAGAGAGAGAGAGAGAGAGAGAGAGAGGCAGTCGACTGTTTGGAGAATTGGTCACGGAGAGAGGATTCGATACCGTCCTTACGAACCCAATGGGTGGCCGATTGTGGGGGAAGCGTGGAGGTGGAAATGTTTGGGGCTCTGCGACAGGACGGCCGCCTTTCGCGAAATGTGTATGGGCGAACAAGCCTCTGAGCTAGCCGTGTCAACGGTGAGAGTGCCAGCGTGAAGACGGTTGGGGAATCCATGGCCGCGAGTGACGCGAAGATGGGAAGGCCGACCTTCAAGAGATCGGCCACGGAGAGAGAGAGAGAGAGAGAGAGAGAGAGAGAGAGAGAGAGAGAGAGAGAGAGAGAGAGAGAGAGAGGTGGTGGGGAATCGGTTACCGAGGAGTCGATCCCGTGTCATTACAAACCCAACGGGTGGCCGATAGCGGGGCGAATCGTGGCGGTGACAATATTAGGGCCTCTGCAACAGAACGCTCTCCTTCCGCGAAGGAGATGTGCAGGAGAAGAAGCCTCTGAGCCGTGTCAGCGATGGACGAATTGGAGCTCGATGTCAGGAGTTGCGTATCGCTGATATATTGTTTGTAATATATATTTTGCTGCTGAAACTTCCCGCCTTTTGCAGCGGAGTTTTCGCGAAGGGTCAATCACGGAGGAGGAGGCCCTTTTGGGCGCTTCCCACTTTACCGCGTGGAGGGAAAAATTGTGACCGTGGATTGAGGGGAGTATTGTCAGCGGCGGGCACGAGGGAAGAGAGAGAGAGGCGAGTACCGCAGTTGTCCGGAGAAGAAACGAGATATCGAGTAGGAGGCAAGAGGAATAAGGGAGAGTGGAACTCAGGGTGAATGTCTCTCTTCTCTCTCTCTCTCTCTCTCTCTCTCTCTCTCTCTCTCTCTCTCTCTCTCTCTCTGTGCTTGCGTTACGGTTAGCGGTGAACGCCGATTGACCTAAAATGTGTGTTTGTCAGCACGGCGTCGTGCGCGGTATTCCTTCCTCATTTCATTGCTGGGTGTTAAGGAGCCTCGTACAGACGGCTGCTTGCGCGCGCCTCGGGATTACAGGTTGATCTGATGTTACTATGTACGGGGATTGCCGCGTGCTGCCAGCTAATGTGTGGTATGTGCGACGATGTGAAGACCACGAACAATCAGCGGCCATTGTCGCTCAGTACGGGAGCGGCAGCGAATCGGCGCATTTGATGAGTGCATGCCATTATGCTCTCTTGCGTTTGAATGTTGTTCTATGATATTACCGATGTTGTACAATGCTTATTCATATATCTTGAGCTGGTTTCCTTTTCTCTCTGGCGATTCATCCGAGTAGCGGACCTCCCAGTCTTGCTGGTGTAGACAAGTTTATGCACGAAGGGAATGTGTGTGTGTGTGTGTGCGTGTGCGAGAGAGAGAGAGAGAGAGAGAGAGAGAGAGAGAGAGAGAGAGAGAGAGAGAGAGAGGAAATTTGTTTTTGCGTTTTGCGTCTTGATGATGCGGCATTCGCTGATGCCCCCATGAGATATGCCGAATCCCTTGTGGGTCTTGCCATTGCCGCTGACTTCCATGGAACCGCTGAGCAACTTTGCGCCATGCCCCTGGATTTCAACTGCCGGGCCCGCGCAGTGGCATGCCGTTTGCCCCAACAGCAGGGACCAGCGCCCAGAGGGCATCCAGCAAAGTGCAACCCACGCCCGAAGGGGTAGGCGGACTAGAGGTTGGGTCCAGCGGATGGGATGAGATAGTTGACAAACTGCTGGAAGGTGGAAGGGTATTGGAAGAATTGTACTTCTTCAGGGGGTAAATCAAGAAATACTACATCATCAAGGGCTGAACTCAAATTTCCCTGCGAGGAAAATAAAACGGGACGCACAAAGCGGAAGGACGCTGAAGGTAACCCTGCCAAAGAACCCTATAGATAATGGTGATGGATGCATGTGTGGTTCACACAGTGTTCTTGTGTGGCGAGCACGGTGGTGCTAACGACGGTGGCGGCGAGAGATAATATTGCACCTACTGGCGAATGAATAGCAACCTATTGTCCAACTGCCGGCGCGCAGGGAACTCAGCCCCAAGGGCCGCAGTTTTATTATTGTTATTACTTGTAAGAGGTAGAGAGCATTGATATCAACGAACTCACCTTGCTCACCTTCGTTGCTCTCCTACGCATGAGATATAGTGCTTGCCACACACACACACACACACACACACACACACACACACACACACACAGAGAGAGAGAGAGAGAGAGAGAG